ACACACACACACACACACACACACACACACACACACACACACACGATAAACATAATCTAAATTTTTAAAAAAAATTAAGTATGTAGTTAAGTCCACAGCTCTCTGAAATCCACTGTACAGAGGTTCATCAAGCCTGGATGTCTGACATATGTATGTCCCACCACGGTCAATTTCAGCCCACCTATGACTTAGCAACCAACTCTCCAATACCTGGAATATTTAGCAGTTGGCTCTTGCAAGCCACACTAAGCCAGCAACAGTGCAGCTCTATGGAACAGAAAGGTCCAAGGACATTCATTATTTAGTGTCTCCAAATGACAGAGTCAAGGTTGGAATTAGGAGTTTAACCCCAGTACCTAGAATCTGACCGCTGTGTCAGCCATCAACACTCACAAGGGAATCCGACCACATGGACAACACTAATGGAACACTTTAATTCATATTAGGCAACAGTGCAAACTCTTTACAAGCAACCCCATGAAATCTGACGTTAGTAGGGTCGTCTTAAATATTTAATGAAATGATTTGCATGAGTTGATGGGTAGAGGGCAGGCTCCAATTAAGAAGCACTTAAAGCTACACTTTGAACATCCAGAAGCCTCACAAAGAAGTTGCACAGCTGGTGAGTGATGGCAATGGGATTCAATCTGTCTGATTGCAGTCGCTTAACCACAGTTGATATTTAGGTGAAAAGAGGAAACTGGCTGACTCTCTGGGCGACAGGAAAGCAAGCGGCTAACTCCGAGCCAGAGTCAAGCAAGCAAACAAACCTGGGTTTGAAAGATCCACCAACTAAGAGTGGAGCAGGTCACCCAACACCCTGGCTTCAGAACCCCACCCCTCCGACAGGGCTTTTCTAAAGGTGAAGACAAGAGAAGGTGTCGACACAGCTCCTGGTCACAACATAAGCCATCAAAGAGTGTTAGGTATTATTATGAACAAAAAAAGATGACAGAATTCAAATCACCGTTTCTGCACTGTGGGTTCTTTGTCTTGCCAAGTTGCCCCAAACTGTGGGTCGGGCTGGTCCAGGGGGAAAGGCAAAGTGACTCCTCCGCCGTGTCACACAAGTACCTCCCCCGCCCGGGTGCGCAGCCACCTTGGGACTGCACTTTTTGGGGGGGGCGCGGGGGGGGGGGGGCCCGGCTCGCCCCGCCCGCGCGGGCCGCCGGGGGGGGGGAGGCGGCACACAGGAGGGGAGCCTGGCTCCCACGCTGCCTCAGAGTGTGGGGCTGTTCTGGGTCTCCCGTGGCTCCCAGACCTTCTCTAGAAATAAAAAAAAAGCTGCTGTGGCTCCAGCTTCCAGCCTAA